ACATAGTATCAATAATACATGACTTTCAGTTGCTTCAAATCCTAACACTTGGTAAAGTCAGCATTTTTACTATAAGCCATTCTAGTGAGTATGTAGTAGTATCTTATTGTGGTTTTAATTTGCATTTTACTGATAACTAATTATATTTAGCACTTTTTTATACTTATTTTTTTGTACATACTTTCATTTGTGAAGTATCTGTTCTAATCTTTTGCCCTTCTTTCGGTTGCTGTCTTATTATTGTTGGGTTGTACATATTCTGGGTACAAGTCCTTTGTAAAACATGCACATTATGAATATTTCATCCATATCTGTGGCTTGTCTTATCTGGAAATGTGTCTCTGTGTATGTATACTTCTAAATATTAGTGTATATGTGTATCGAGAAATATATGTATATTTGTGTATGTAAATGTAGTTCTTTTACTCTAATTTTAGTGACATTTTGGAAGATAGCAGTGAATAAAAGCATATGTTTAGTTTAACATATTTTATTCAAAGTTTATAATTGATTCTTCATCTGAGCTTTCTAAGTGTTCTTTATGACCTCTTTATAGTATGTGCTACATTATAGTGTATAAACATCTGTTTACATGTTTTCCTGCATTTCTTGCTGGACTTTAAGCTCACTGAGGGTGAGGTCAGTTATTCATCTTTGTACTCCCAGTGACTAGCATATTCTTTGGCATGTATTACATACTTCAATATATTGAAAAATGGACACTATTTATCTTGGGAGAAGTTTGGGTTGCTATGGTTCTGTCTAGGACTCTTTGCTCTTTTTTTGGTCATGTATCAGTGTACTTTTTTGGAAACTTCAACTGGAAATGTCAAGTATGAAAATTCTGAGTGTATTTTATAAAGTCTTTGGTAAATTGTAATAGGCATTAAATTAGAGCAAGGTCATCAAACTTGCTGTAAAGGGCCAGAGAATAAATACTTTCAGCTTTGTGGACAACATGGTTTCCTATGCAACTTTGTTGCTGTAGCATGAAAGTAGCCTTAGACAACACATAAATGAATGAGCATGGCTGCGTTCAAATAAAACCTCATTTAAAAACAGGCAGCCATAAAAAAGAATGAGATCATATCCTTTTCAGGGACATGAATGAAGCTGCAAGCCATCATTCTCAGCAAACTAACACAGGAACAGAAAGCCAAACACTGCATGTTCTCACTCATAAGTGGGAGTTGAATAATGAGAACACATGGACACAGGGAAGGAAACAACACACACTGGGGCCTATTAGGGTGGGGGCAAAGAACGGGAGAGCATTAGGACAAATACCTAATGTATGCAGGGTTTAAAATCTGAATGCGTTGATAGGTGCAGCAAACCACCATGGCACATGTATACCTATGTAATGAACCTGCACATTCTGCACGTGTATCCCAGAACTGAAAGTAAAATAATAATAATAAAGTCAGTGTGCTGCATTTGGTTTACAGACTGTAGTTTACTAAGACTAAGCTTACCAATCTGTAAACCAAAGGAACCCAGGAATCTAAATAGATGTGAATGCTAATTTAGGTATTTTTTCCTCTAGGACATACTTAGTTTAACTACTTCCTTCCTATGTGCACTGGGAGGAATGTATTTTTCCCACATGTTTGCAGTGTTTTGTCTGTTCGGTGGCCATGAAAATCTGCCTCTCAGACCTCTGACTGAGGAGAACATTATTGAACAATGGCCCTAGATACTACAGTCTGAAATTTACTACCACATTGCTTCCAGTAGGCTGATGGCAGACAATGACTGACCAGGGTAAGAATAGCAAGCCAGATCCATGCCTTGGATTTGTGGGACACTATTGGCTAGTGAATGTGGTCAACCTGCATTCCTTCCATCTCCTCTTTACCTGCACATTGCAGTTTGATGGCTCTCCCATCTTCTTCAAGTTCCTTTCACATTTTCTTTCCTTTTTATTTATATTTATTTTGTTTTTTTTTTTTTTGAGATGGAGTCTTGCTCTGTGTCCCATGCTGGAGTGCAATGGTGTGATCTCAGCTCACTGCAACTTCTACCTCCCGGGGTTCAAGTGATTCTTCTGCCGCAGCTTCCTGAGTAGATGGGATTACAAGTGCCTGCCACTACGCCTGGATAGTTTTTGTATTTTAGTAGACATGGTGTTGTGCCATGTTGGCCAGGCTGGTCTGGAACTCTTGACCTCAGGCAATCTGTCCCCTTGACCACCCAAAGTGCTGGGACTACAGGCATAAGCCACCGCACCCAGCCACACTTTTGTGTGTTTTTTTTTTTTCTTTTCCCTGAAATAGGCACTTACTTTCACATTTTCTCTCATAGGTATGTGCCTGAACTTGGCATCTGCCTTTAGAACATCCAGACTAACACAAATTGTTGATTTTGTGATTTGCAGACTCAGTTATAAAGGAATAGATTGAAATAAGATATAGTTTAATAAAGGAAATATGGGAGAAAGCAATACTGAAACAGAAATGTCAAAAAAAACCAAACAGAACAAAACCTTTAAAGGTGAGAAGTGGACAGTGGGATAATAATTCACTTGGCAGAGCAGAGAAGGTTTCAATATAAGTGTCTGTGGACAGGATTTATGAAGATAAGCAAGTTGTCACTCAACACAGGACCCTAAAAAGGCATGGGACTTGAAGGTAAGTGGAAGGCAAAGTTGAAGTTCAAATCAAAGGCAATAATACTCAAAAGTCCCTGGCCTCAAGAAATATCAGGTGCAGTGGAGGACGGGGGTGAAGTGATGGACTCAAGAGGGCTAAGGGAGAGTCTGCACATTGATTGGTGAGATATCCAGCCCTTATTCTTTGTTTCACTTCTCCTAGGTCACTGCCTAATCAACCCACAGAATAGATAAGTCTGGGGAAATTTACTCATCCCAGACTGAAGGTATATTTGGAAATTTAAGTTAAAAATATGATTTGAATGCTGGGCATGGTAGCTGATACCTGTAATCCCAGCACTTGTGAGGCCAGGGTGGGAGAACTGCCTAAGGTCTGGAGTTCATTAACAGCCGTGGCAACACAATGAGACCCTGTCTCTACATTTTTTAAAAAAATTAGCCAGACACAGTGGCATGGACCTGTAGTCCCAGCTACTCTGGAGGCTGAGGTGAGAGGATTGCTTGAACACAGGATTTTGAGGCTGCAGTTAGCTGTAATGGCACCACTGCACTCAAGCCTGGGTGACAGGGCAAGACTCTGTCTCAAAACTAAACCAAAACAAACAAAAAGACAAAACAGCCTGGTTTGTTGCCTTCTATAGATATTCCAAAGCTCTGCTTCTTTCAATCACCTTTCCATGTCTTAGTTGGAAATAAGACCTGACAGACAGAATCATCTGACATTTTGGTAAAGTTTCTCATATATAAGCACAAAGGCAACTAACTAGCTAACTAGCTTACCTAATGATAAAGCATGTGACAAAAAAAAAAAAAAAAAAAAAACAAAACAGATAAATTTGAGAGCAGAATAAACTTTACAAAAAAAGAAGATATTACTTCTACAAAACAGGACCTGCTTTACGCAGAAGAAAAAAATCAAAATTATTTTCAAGAAAAAACTTTTCCTTCAAATAAAAAATAAACACACTTTTATAGGATTAGAAGACAATATTAAAGACATTATTTAGAAAATAGAACTAATAGAATGATGAACAGGTATTCAAGTACTGACTAACCGGAATGTTGGAAAGATGGAACACGTAAAATTATAGAAATTATCAAACAAGTGACAAAAGGCATTTCAATGATGAAATGACTGAGTCTAAAGTAGACAATAAAAAGACTCTAAGGCATATATCATGAAACTTCAAACACCAAAAATCTAAATAAGAACTCCTTTAGACACCAAAACGAGAAACGAGGTCACCAACAAAGGTTTAGGTTGAGTTTCAGTGAAGTACTGGATTCTGAGGCAGCAAATCTAGATGCTAAAACACAATGAAGCTCTGCGAAGAAATCATGGTAAAATAATCTTCCTGATATTTAATATTGGTCATCACACCTTGTTTAAATTTTTCAATCATTTCTCATAATGAGGGGTTAGGATCTAGGAATGATGTGTCACCTCACTCACAGGCTGAAACCACGGCTTTCCCATGATTCTCATCATTCTTCACATAAAAAATTAAGATTATTATAGAAGGCAAGCTATTTACCCAATGTTTCCCTGAATATTTTGTACATGTCCATGTCTTTTGCCTCAATGTAAGCCTGAGAGAAAGACACTGAGTCTTACATTCTTTTTCTAAGGATTCCACACCCAGCTCAAAAGTCCTCTCCTCCTTCAAGTCTTCCCCACCCCTCCTCTCACCCATGTGAAGAATAATTAATCACTCTGTTGTGATCCCATGATTTAAAAATAAAATAAGAAAAGTTTTTCTATCCAATATCATCACATTATAACAAAATAATTAGAACATGATTTTTACCTACCCCTCACAATTTTGAGCCTCTTGTGAGTATGACTCATGTTTTTGCTTCACTACATAATTATATATTTAAATTTGGTTTTACATACAAAAGATAACAGCCAAGAAGGTTAACCATAATTTCAAATTTTAGTACCAGCCACTTGTGCTATTTTATCATATTTGAAAATATTTACTCTATTTACTTCAAACAGTGATCTATAAATTTGTTTAGACAATAATAATTAAGAGCTTTTTCTTCAGGATAAGAAAAATATTAAATGATGTATTGAAGATACTACTAAAGAAACTACTTTTTGATTATAGTCTGCATTGGAGACCAATAGGAATTTTTCTAATCTTCAAATTATTCCACAACTGCTTTGTTCAAAGAAATACCACTTTGGAAATTATTTGGTGAAAAATTTACAAATCAAAGATTCACTCACAGATGATACTACCATAATCACTTATTATAACAAGTCTCCTAAGTATTTTCTGTATCAGTTTTCTTGATTATAAAATGCCAATAATATGAACATAATGTAACAGAACATTTAATTATATCAGTTTCCCAACAACCCACCAAAGTCAAATTATAATTATATTGGTTGTTTCCACTGATTGGCAGGAAGCTCTTCCATTAAAGCCTCCCATGGTTTCCACTGCATCATTTTTCTCACCAGACTTAGTTCATTCTCAACCTGATAAATTGCCTCTTCTATTTGGCCACCTTGAAGTTGGCCTTCTAATTTTTTAACATCTGGTTCCACTTTAAGCATAGCCAGCTTCTCATTTGTAATCTGTTCTGTATACTTTTTATATACTGCATTTTTTAGGGTTTGCTCAAGAACATCAAGAATCTTTTTGTGCAATATTCTTAGCCTCTCATGTGGACTGCTGCATACAGCCAATCCCACAGGACCAGTAGTCTTCTTCAGCATGCCCTGACCCATATATAATTATTATTTGCATCACAGTGCCTGGCTCATGCCTACATAAAGTGATACTCAGTAAATATCTGTTAAATTGAAATGATTCAATAAACATTATAAACTAAAAACCAAAACACTACAGCCCGAGCAGGGCTTATAGGACATGTCTGAAATCTACTCAACATTCAACTGGTGGTTGCTTGGTAGATTGATAGAGAAATTCATTTTTTCTCTGATCTGTGAACATAACATTTCTTTTACCCATTAGCCAAATGTACTGTATCAACTAATTAAGGTGGGACGATTTCTGTCTTCTAATAGATGTTCACTTACCCCCATCAATATAGGGTGCTAAAATATTTTCATATTATCTTTTTGTTTCTTATTCTCCCAGAAAAGTCATTGTCTGAGGAGAACAAGAGTGCAAGAATGAAATCAGTTAAGTAAAAACAGGGTCAGTTCTTGGAAATTTTATAAAAACAATATAATTTTCTTTTGTTTGGGAAGAGTTATAATTCTGCCATCACAGATATCATAGAATTTATAAAAGAATAGGTGCATTTATTTGGGGCAATGCTCTAAAATTTCAAATGATAGGAAACATGTCAACCTCTAGCATGAATAAACTTTTATCAAAATGTACTGCGTATTTCAGTTTTCTAAATCCGGAATTAAAAAAAAACAGGGACTATTTTCTTCAAATGTTGAATAGCATCATATTTGAGAGAAGACAGTTAATTTAAAACATTAGGGGAAAATTGATGGAGTTGTTAATGGAAAATGGAAGATTACAGCTTTTAATGACGTGTTAGACAAGCACATTTAAACAATTTAAAAGTGCTTTTCCCCCACAGGATCACTTATGTCTCATTTCTGAGTTGTCAGTGTCTCTAATTCATTTCAGCTGCTTCTGATTAGTTCATCTTTTTGAAGCAATGCAGTTTCATTTGATATGAGAACTGTATTTTTTTAATGCATATGCATAGAAAGCTCTCAGCAGTACCCATCAGAGGTCCTTATGATAATTTAGGCTACATTTCAAAGATAAGAGTCTGACCAAGTAGCCAGGAAATCAGAGATAAAATTTTCAAATGATCAAGCATTTGAGAACTCTATGCAATCCACATCTTAGAAAGCTTCAGGATTTTGCCTAGAAAAGTCTAACCCATGCATCAATCGGAAACAAAACAAACAAACAAACAAAAACCCAAAGAGGTGCATATGTCTCTGTGTGTGTGTCTGTTGTGTTTTAAAGCAAGGAATATGTGACCCATATCTTATTTTATACTAAAGGTACTGTGTCATCTCAAAAGAAAGAGGGGTTTCAAGCTGCTGGAGTGGACCCAGACGAAGAGAGTTGGTGGGTGAATGTCTTCTCATTTGGAACTAAACAAGCAGAAGGTAGTGAGTTTGAATGTTAGGTCCCTAAAGGCTATAATGTTTAAGGACAGAGCTTTAAATCAGAGCTGTAGAACTCAGTTTCACTGGGTGAGTTTGTCAGTATAGGCCTCGCAGAATCCACCCTGAAGGAACTCACAGGTGGCTTCTAGGAGGTGGTTGTACTCCTATACAATCTGACATGAAATTTTGGACATAAGTGGTCTCTAGAGAGGAAAGGTGGATTCTCAGAGCTAGTGGGGCTAACAAAGGCAACATCAGATCCTCCAAAATACAGCCAAATTGTTGTCCCATTATGTCAACTGTTAGCATTACTGCCCTATCCAAAAACTCTGTCATTGCATACCTGGGAAGTGTAAATACATTTCCAACCACATTTCCATACTTCCTTTCTTACTTCCTTAAAATATTTATTTCCCCACAGTAATCAGAGGGATATTCCTAAGAAAAACTCAAATTTTGTTAATTACCTGCTTAAAAATCCTCCAGTGCCTTTCCATTTCACTTAGAATAAAATCTACTTCCTTGTAATCTTCAAGATCCTCTGTGACTTGCCTCCTTCTACCTCTTCAACATTATCTTCTGCCAGTCTCTCCTTTGGTCACATAATCTTTCTTGCTGCTCCTCTCTAGCACACTGGAATTTGTTGTCCACTCTGCCTGCAACACTCTTATTTCAAAACCTCTCATATTTGGGTTCTTCCTCTTGTCATTTAGGTTTTAGCTCGAATATCTTGATTCAATCTAAATTACATAACATCATCTTCCTCTATCACAGCACCTTTAATTACATAACTTCATCATCCTCTATCACAGCACCCTTCATATTTTTATAGCATCTATCATATTTGTTATTATACTATTTGTTTATTTGCTATTTTCATGTCTGTCTTCCTTTTTCACCTACTAAAATGTAAATCTTATCTAAGTTATGAATTATTAGGCTAGCACAAAAGTAACTGTGGTTTTTGCCATTGAAAGTAATGGCAAAAACTACAATTACTTCTGCACTAACCTTTGTCAAGCTCTCCTTAGCTCCCAAATACCACTACCCTCATAGTAGACAGACAATAATAATCAACAAATGACTGTTGGTGATATTTCACAGACTAATATACGCATTCTGTTGATGTGTGACTGCTCTTAAAAAGAATCCTAATCAAGAGCCAAATCAAGAATGAACTGCCATTCACAATTGCTACAGAGAATAAAATACCTAGGAATACAACTAACAAGGAACATAAAGGACCTCTTCAAGGAGAACTACAAACCACTGCTCAACGAAATAAGAGAGGACACAAAGAGATGGAGAAACATTCCATGTTCAAGGTTAGGAAGAATCAACATGGTGAAAATGGCCATACTGCCCAAAGTAATTTACAGATTCAATGCTATCCCTATCAAGCTACCAACGACTTTCTTCACAGAACTGGAAAAAAACACCTTCAACTTCATATGGAACCAAAAGAGAGGCCGCATAGCCAAGACAATTCTAAGCAAAAAGAACAAAGCAGGAGGCATCACACTACTGGACTTCAAACTATACTACAAGGCTACAGTAATCAAAACAGCATGGTACTGGTACCAAAATAGAGATATAGACCAATGGAACAGAACAAAGGGCTAGGAGGCAACACAACATATCTACAACCATCCGATCTTTGACAAGCCTGACAAAAACAAGCAATGGGGAAAGGAGTCCCTGTTTAATAAACGGTGTTGGGAAAACTGGCTAGCCATATGCAGAAAGCAGAAACTGGACCCCTTCCTGACGCCTTACACTAAAATTAACTCCAGATGGATTAAAGACTTAAACATAAGACCTAACATCATAAAACCCCCAGAAGAAAATCTACGCAAAACCATTCAGGACATAGGCGTAGGCAAGGAATTCATGACCCAAACACCTAAAGCATTGGCAACAAAAGCCAAAATAAACAAATGGGACCTAATCAAACTCCACAGCTTCTGCACAGCAGAAGAAACAGTCGTTAGAGTGAATTGGCAACCAACAGAATGGGAAAAAATTTTTGTAGTATACCCATCGGACAAAGGGCTGATATCCAGAATTTACAAAGAACTAAAACAGATTTACAAGAGAAAAACAAGCCCATTCAAAAGCAGGTGAAGGATATGAACACTTTACAAAAGAGGACAAATATGAGGCCAACAAACGTGAAAAAATGCTCACCATCACTGGTCATTAGAGAAATGCAAATCAAAACCACATTGAGATCCCATCTCACACCAGTTAGAATGGCGAGCATTAAAAAATCTGGAGACAACAGATGCTGGAGAGGATGTGGAGAAATAGGAACACTTTTACACTGTGGGTGGGAGTGTAAATTAATTCAACCATTGTGGAAGACAGTGTGGCGATTCCTCAAGGACCTAGAAATAGAAATTCCATTTGACCCAGCAATCCCATTACTGGGTATGTATCCAAAGGATTATAAATCATTCTACTATAAGGACATATGCACACGAATGCTCATTGCAGCACAGTTTACAATAGCAAAGACCTGAAACCAACCCAAATGCCCATTGATGATAGACTGGACAGGGAAAATGTGGCACATATACACCATGGAATATTATGCAGCCATCAAAAACAATGAGTTTGTGTCCTTTGTAGGGACATGGATGAACCTGGAAACCATCATCCTCAGCAAACTGATACAAGAACAGAAAATCAAACACTGCATGTTCTTACTGATAGGCAGGTGTTGAACAATGAGAACACATGCACACAGGGAGCGGAGCATCACACACTGCAGTCTGTTGGAGGGAAATAAAGGAGGGAGAGTGGGGGGTGGGGAGTTGGAGAGAGTTAGCATGGGGAGAAATGCCAGAAATAGGTGAAGGGGAAGAAGGCAGAAAACCACACTGCCATGTATGTACCAATTCAACACTCTTGCATGTTCTTCACATGTACCCCCAAACCTAAAATGCAATTAAAAAAACCAACAAACAAAATAAAGAATAAAAGAAAAAATATTTTTTTACCTTCGAGAATAGTAAAATTAGGATATATTTTTTTCTGCAAGAGAACAAAAAAAGGAGAAAATAATAAAGAATCCTGACAACATTAATTAATTCTACAAAAGGAAAGGCCTCTCTGCTCTCTCCTCATGTCAGTCTGAACTTACAGTATTCCCTATTAATCTCTGTAATCTATACCATGACTGTCATGTCACCTACACTCTTTTGATAAAACTTTTGCACCTTTCTGATCAGATGTGGCTGACCCTGTGCTTTTAGTGACCCACATGGCTAGACCAAATCCACCTGCATCGCTGGGTGAGAACAAACATGCATGTGGAGTGGTGAGAGCTATAACCCTTTCTATCCCTGGGCAAGGCTAACCTCTTTCCTCCTTACTGGGTCTGGGAAGGCAGGGAGGCAAGTCTGTAAGTCTGTGTTCTCTCTGTGTGAGATGACTTGGCTAGAAAACCAGCTCTGTTTCACCTTCAGAACTAGAGAATGAGTCTCCAACCAGATTACAATATTGGGCAAAAGTCTGATACTATTAAGTCTATTGATTATATATTTAAAACATTTTCTATTGGTGCTTCTTAAGAGTGAATCCTATTGAAGAACCAGACACCTAGT